TTTTTTTAGTTGTAGTTGGACAGAATACCTTTATTTTTATTTATTTTTATGTGGTACAGAGAATCGAACCCAGCGCCTCACACGTGCTAGGCGAGCATTTTGCCGCTGTGCCACAACCTCAGCCCCCTGTACATCCTAATTTTAAAGATACCTGACTGATCATTGTTTCCTTCACAAGAACTGAAAGTGTTTTAGGATATTCATTGACTCCAGTATAATAGTAGTAATATATCATGGTATTGATTCCAAATTGACTGTTAAACTTGAGGGAAAAAAAGGAGCTTGTTGGAAGGATGTTGGGCACTTGTGGAGTTGGCAGGAGGTTGCCAGCTGGAGGCAACCGGGGGGCCAGGATGTGAGGCATAGGAATGGCCAGGACACTGCTGCCCCTAAAATGAGAGCTCTCCAGTCATTAACCCACTTGCTACAAACTGAGGGTCCAGTTGACTAAGCTTAAGTGACAAGCCCATTGTTTGTTTGTACTAGGGAAGGAGAGGGGGGACCTGCCCTCTGATAGATAATGTTATGTGTGGCTGTTGCCAAGAATTATACTCCGACCAAGACTAGGAAGAGGAAAGGTGAAATTGCCTAGGAGTTAAAAAAAAAAGGATGGATTCTGAGTCACATCTTGCCTAAAAAAGATTCTTTTTTTTTTTTAGAGAGAGAGAAAGAGAGAAGTTTTTAATATTTATTTTTTAGTTCTCGGTGGACACAACATCTTTGTTGGTATGTGGTGCTGAGGATCGAACCCGGGCCGCACGCATGCCAGGCGAGCGCGCTACCGCTTGAGCCACATCCCCAGCCCCGGGATTCTTGAGCCGTTATTTTTCGTACTGGGTATCAAACTTAGGGGCACTTAACCACTAAGCCACATATCCAGCCCTTCTTGTATTTTATGTAGAGACAGGGTCTCACTGAGTTGCTTAGGCTTTGCTAAGTTGCTGATACTATCTTTGATCTCAAGATCTTCCTKCCTTAGCCTCCTGAGCCACTGGGATTACAGGCATGCCCCACCATGCCCGGCCTATTATGAGCAATCTTATGTACATCAGGACCTCGTTTGTTTCTCAGAAGATGATGAGCTGAGAATATTTATACATCTGGTGTATTTTAAATTTTCACTAAAAGTTCAAAGGAAGCTAATTGGCTTACCTAGGGATGTTGAGTGATATTGTTAGGATTTGGGACACATCTAACCTATAATGCAGTGGAGCCCTCTTTACATTTGGTCTGGTCTGTCTCAGTTTGACTGATGTTTCCTTACAGGTTACATAAGGACAGGCTCAATCTTTCTGGCTCAAACACAGGACCGGCTCATTTCCTTGAAGCGCATCAACTCAAGTTTGAAGTACGTAAGAGGCTAGAAGCCTGTCCTGACTTTGCCAAACTGACCTCGGCAAAGAGCCCATGAATGTCATTGTCCCCTTGTGTTCATTGGCAGTGTTACAGGCATCCCTTCAGAGATCATCTCCCCAAAGAAAGTGGCTGAACTTTACCCTCTCCTCAATGTGCACGACCTGGTGGGGGCCATGCATGTTCCTGAGGATGCTGTGGTGTCCTCTGCTGATGTGGCTCTTGCCCTGGCAAGTGCTGCCTCCCAAAATGGTGAGCAGGTTTTTGTTTTCTTAACATGGGTTTGGGAGAAAGAAGTTACCTGAGAAGTGTCTTATGGTAGGAGGCAATGATTCCAATTCACATTTGGAAAAAGTGTCCTCATTGGGTATTCATCTTCCAGCCTTTGAATACTGGATCTCAAGAGTTTTAAAAATATAGTATTTTTTTTTTTTTTTTTTGGTATCTGTTGATAAGTATTTTTTCTCAGGGTCATATCGAGCTTCCACTCACCCACTGCCCTTGGTAATGGGGATTAAACCCAGGGCCTTGCACATCCTGGATAAGCACTCTACTACTACTGAACTACTCACCCAGCCTGGGCCACATTTTTCATGTTAAAAATTTCGAGTAACTACTGTTTTTTGTTTTTTTTTTTTTAAATATCTTTATTTTTATGAGGTGCTGAGAATTGAACCCAGTGCCTCACGTATGCCAGGAGAGCACGCTACCACTTGAGCCACATCCCCAGCCCCAAGTAACTGCTTTTTATTGCTGATGAGTGATAAGTTTCAGACTTAAGGGAATTCCCCTTCCTCCAGGACTTAAGAAGCTCTAAGGTTAGCCTTGGAGATTGGATGCACAGCTTAAATCATGATCTGGAGTTCAGATGTATGATGGGAAGAGTAGTATCCAGGGTGTTATATACTTTAGGTGAACTGATCATGATGTGGGTAGATTGGGATTTAAGATGCCCTATTTGGGCTGGAGTTGTGGCTCAGTGGTAGAGCGCTCGATTTGCATGTGTGAGACCCTGGGTTCGATCCTCAGCACCACATAAAAATAAAGAAAGATAAAAAAAATCATAAATTAAAAAAAAGATGCCCTATTTGAACTCTTTCATCCTTGCTCCATATTTTCAACTAATATGTACTAGACTCTGTTTTTAAATTGATCAGCTATTTTCAGTCTTGAGCAAGGCCCATTACATAGTCTCAAGATGTCATTCCTAAGAGTTTTTATTTCTTAAATTAGAGCACTGACCTACTTATTCAGTTATTCTTTGGGGTGGAGAATCTGCTGCAGATGTTTCATTCTGGAACATCAGATGATGTACCAGCTTTTTCTTTATTTTTGCACAGGTGTTCAGATTTATGACCGGACAACTATTCTTCATATAATGGTCAAAAAAGGCCAAGTTACTGGTGTGGAAACGGATAAAGGACAGATTGAATGCCAGTATTTTGTCAACTGTGCTGGCCAGGTAGGTTAGCAACAATATTGAGCAGATGATTTTCTTATTTAATTTGGATATTTTTGGTGTAGAGCATTAAGATTAATACTGTGATGGACTAAAGAGAAGTTAGGTACTATACTATTTCTTGTTTGGACTGAAAAAATCAGAATTCTTTTATCTGAATCAGAAAATTATACTTATTCCTCAAATAGAAGCATCTGTGACCTTTTCCTCCTTCTGCACCAGGTTATTTGGTGCCATCTGGTCAGGAATGCCAGCAAATAGTTAGACATTGACATGAATTCTTGCTTTTGGGTATTTCCGTAATGTTAAATTTCATTCTACAACCTAGCAGATAAAATATTAGGCTATTTTATTGTATTAGGACCATGTTTGAACACTAAGCTCCTTCTACTTCTGAGGCAAATCGGTACCTTTCCTTCTACTCTGCAGTCTTAAGGTGATCTAGGAAATACTCCTTGCTTTATGAAGTTTACTTAATGATTGGTATCTGGAGTTATTAGTTGAGGCCAGGCATTTTATTAAAAGGGCTTCTGCTGACTGGTAAATCTATTGTCCTTTGATTAAAAGGTTATTTTTATGTTAAAAAATAGTGTTGCTCCCCATCCAAATACTTGAACTAATTAAAGCAGGCTGAAACTTGGCTTCCCACACCTGTCACTCTAGTAAGAGCACACAGAAGCCACTTGAAATTAATTTCTTTTCAAGAGGCTAAACTTGCTCATTTGTGTTTCTGTTCCTCTTCCCACCCACAAATAAATCTGTCCATTTGTAGTGGGCATACGAGCTGGGTCTGTCCAACGAGGAGCCGGTTAGTATCCCGTTACATGCCTGCGAACACTTCTACCTTCTGACTCGCCCCTTGGAGACCCCTCTGCAGAGCAACACACCAAGTGAGGACTTGTATTTTTTTACAATCTTATCTACTTGCCAGTATCCTGTCCTCTGAAAAGGAAGACTTTCTGAAAAGGACAGATTGTACCTGAGTCTTTTATCTTCTGCAGCATGTTACAGGGAGGTAGACTCAATTCTAACTTTTCTGTGATATTTCTTTATGAAAGGATAGTCAAATGGGTATGTCATCAAGCAATTTTTTGTTTTTGTTTTTGCAAACTTTAGTCCCAAAAAGAGGTAATTGAGAATATTTGGAATGTAACTTTCAGTTTTTAATTTGAATGCTATCAATTGTAGAAATGTTACAGGTAAACCATAAACTTGGGTGGTATATCGGCTCCAGGTACTACTCTAGGAGAGGATTTCGATATTGTTTTCAGGCTCTGCAGTCCCCTTTCTGTTAGACTTTTGCTTGGCACATGGCAGTCATGTAGTTTGGTTGTGAGACTTTGCAAAGCTTCTAGGTTCCTGCTAAAGTTAGGGATAATCAGAGAAACAGTCTCCTCTGTAAATCTGCTGGGAAGATCCTCTCCCATGAACTCCAGAGGTATTTTTAAGCTGACTGATGCCTGTGTGTATTGGATGCCATTTCCTTAATAAATCCATTCATGGGTATTTTGTTTCTTTTATGTCCATTTAGAAAGTTGGCTTGCCTCTAAACTCTTGTTTGTTTGTTTGTTTGTTTTTCCTACTCCCCACTCCCTTGTCATTTTCCTTCTCAGCTATTGTTGATGCTGATGGAAGAATTTATATTCGGAACTGGCAGGGTGGCATCTTGTCTGGGGGCTTTGAAAAGAACCCAAAACCTATTTTCACTGAGGGCAAGAACCAGCTGGAAATTCAGAATCTGCAGGAAGACTGGGATCATTTTGGTGTGTGAATTACATTGTAATGATAATACCATCTATTTGTCTAAGATGTTCTACTTTTATTTTTTTTCCAAAGGTGTTCTATTTCTCAAAGCATTTCAGGAATAGTACAATAGTAGTCACCAAAACATTCTCCATAGTTTGCCTAGTGTAGGGATGCAGTTACTGGTTAGCAAGTTTAGGGAACTAACATCTTGGTTAACAAACTTGGTTTATTATTTTTTCCCCTAAATCATTGCAGAAATTTTAGGCTAGGAGACTGACTTTTGGTCATATTTTATATAAAACTGAAGAACTTTTTAAAAAGCAGAATTGTTTTATTATGTGGTCTCTTAATTTTATTTATTCAATAATTAATAATTACATGGTTCCAAATTCAAGAAATAGAAAAGTATCTCTGAAGATGCATTTCCCTTTCATTCTTTTTTTTTTTTAAATATTTATTTTTTAGTTTTTCGGCGGACACAACATCTTTGTTGGTATGTGGTGCTGAGGATCGAACCCGGGCCGCACGCATGCCAGGCGAGCGCGCTACCACTTGAGCCACATCCCAGCCCCCCTTTCATTCTTGATGGCTTTTTTTTTGTTATGGGTGGTGGACTGGACTGGGGCCTTGAACATACTTGGTATACACTCTACCAGCACTATGTGAACTTTCTTTTAAAAATAAACTTCTTATGGGAAGTTTGAAACTTTTCAAAGTATATAAAGTAATATGATGAACACTGCCCCACCACCACCCCCCCCACGAACCCAAGCAACTCTACCCTGGATTCATCTATTACCATTGTCCCACGGAATTATGGCCAGATGACAGATTCATTATTAAAAATGGGTAAGGGTCTGTCTTGGAGCTATTCCAACAAAGGAAAACATTCTTTCATTTATCTCTTTGGGCATCACTTAAGAGTTTTTCCACTYAATACTGGCTCATTCCATTACTCTCTGTGGCCACATGTATTATGCCATTCAGCAGCTCTCTTCCTTTCTAGAGTGTTTTTTCTGTCTTTATGCCAAGCATTTTGCASGTGTGTCCTGTAATTCCACCAAGCTTTCTGATTTCTGATAAATAGCCCACTTGGCTCTTAGAAAAATCCCTCCTGAGAAGTTTGCTGAAAGGAATAGTAGTTTAAAAAAATCTCCCTATATATATTGGAGCTGGGGCTGTAGCTCAGTGGTAAGCACTTGCCTAGCATGTGTGAGGCACTGGTTTGATTCTCAGCACCACATATAAATAAATGAACAAAATAAAGGTCCATCAATGTATAAAAAAATTTTAAAAAAATATATGTATATAGAAGATTTGAAAGTTTTTAGATTCCCTAAAGGTAAACTGTATTTGGGTTTGTTTTTATTGCTCAGAGCCCCTGTTGAGTTCCCTCCTGCGTAGAATGCCAGAATTGGAGACTCTGGAGATCATGAAGTTGGTGAACTGCCCTGAGACCTTCACACCAGACATGAGATGCATCATGGGCGAGTCTCCTGTAGTACAGGGCTACTTTGTCCTGGCAGGGATGAACTCTGCTGGCCTGTCATTTGGTGGAGGAGCTGGAAAGTAAGTCTTCACGCAGAGTCAGTTATGAATACATGTCAGCTTGCTGGGGTTTTTCCCTTCTAGGATTACTTGCTAGGATGTTATGTAATATTTTTAATCTGAGATGCTAAAGATAATGGTAAGACTGACATACATATAATTTGAGAATTGTCTCCTACAAAGAATTCACCATGGGAGGCTCTCCCCATATTCTAGAAGTATCATTTTGCAAAATATTTTGTGAACTTCTTTTTTGAAGTTAGCCATAGAACTTGTGTTTTTATTGTTTTTTTTTTTTTTTTTGTACTTTTTCCAGTCATAACAAGTATGGCCCTTCAAAGTGTATGTTTGAGTTTAGAAGTAGCCAAGTGTGTAGTGAGTGTGATAGGTGATCAAGCTGTGTGACATGTTATTATTTAAAAAGTAGGTATTAGTAAAAATCAGTAAATTACAAAGGGATGTAAATACTGTACAATTCCACTTATGTGAGGAACCTGGAATGGTCACATCTGTAGACAAACGGCACAGTAGTGGTTGCAAGGGTAGTAGGAAGTTACTGTTTAACAGGTATAGTGTTCAGGTCTGCACGATGAAGAGTGAGTTCTAGAGATGGATGATGTGCATGTACTTAATACTACACACGTAAAAGTAGTTTAAGGTGATAATTTTTATTTGTATAGTTGACCCTTGAACAATTTAGGGGTTAACTGCATAGTTGAAACATCTGCTTATAACTTATTCATTCAATTATTTTATAGTACTGGGGACTGAACCCAGGACCTCATGCATGTTACATAAGTGCTCTGTCTCTGACCTACATCTCCAATCCTTTTTTAAATTTTAGTTTTCATTTATTTATTACTTTTTGCAGCACTGGGGACCAAACCAAGGCATGTTTGGCAAGTGCTAGGCAAGTGCTCTACCACAGACACATCCCCGTCCCCAAAATTTTATGTTTGAGACAGTCTCACTGAGTTGCCCAGGCTGGCCTTGACTTTTTAAGATCCTTCTACTGCTGAATAGCTGGGATTTATAGGCATTTGTCAGTGTACTCAGCTTGCTTATAAATTTTGTTTTAAAGTGATTTAAGACCTTTATTAATAGGTGCTTGCAAGTGTTAACTTTTTTTTTTTTTTAAAGAAATATCAGTTCATAAGGGATTGGGTGTATACTTAGTATGRGACCCTGTTTATTATAAATTATAAATGGAGTTCTTAAAAATTTCAACCTGACCAGATACAAAAGCATTTAAAAGCTTATACAGGTGTATTGAGAACAAACAGGCTTTTTAAAAAACAAAAAAATCTCAAATTTGTTATCAGCAGAGAGTATCAATTATTAAAAATAACAAAAACTCCCATGCTGCATAGATAATGCACATGGTTCTAATTATCTCATTAGTGGATAAAAAAGCAAGCACTTCAGGTCTTCACTTCTGTTCATTTTGTATTTATTTTTTTCTTTTTGGATGACTGGATGATGGTGAAGATGGTAAGGTGGCATTTACCTAGCCCTACCCTCCACAGCCTTGGGAGCCCATGAAGTCTAAGCTGATGGATAGGCTGCTTCTGGCACTGTGCTATCCTATGGTTTAGGTTTTTCTGGGCATCTGCAGGGTAACTGAAGTTGCGGCTCTACTAAGATTGAGATGGCTGCTGACCTCAAGTCTCTTTGATTTTATCTTCGTTGCCATCTTCTCTAGGAGTCATGGTCTTTAAGCCCATACACATAATTTCTCACTGGTCCACCTTCCCTGCACCATGGTTGTCAGCATCAGCACCCTGTATCACATCTCCCTGCACGGTTGGTTCTGTGGTTCACATCTGTGGTGTCTCTGCAGTAGGTGTGGGGGTGTGTTTTTTCCTTTTGGAGATCAGTTCTGACCCCTCAGCCTTTCCCCCAGTCTATTCTGGTAATTCTGGTGACTGCATGGATGATCCCCTATGATGTAAATCACATCTAAAGTGGTTATGGTCTATTGCATATTTTCTGCCTTGAACTGGAACTCTACCAGATCCTGACACATTTGCTGCTTCTACCTCCTTTTCTTTTTCTACATCAAACTCCAGTCTTTCTATCCTCTTTATCATTAAGGGACTTCTGGGGGTTTTTACATGACAAACTAACCTTCAAATATATCTCCCTTGATATCATTCCCACTGATGAGACCATATCCACTTATTTTATTTTATTCTAATTTATTTATTTATTTATTTTTGTGGTGCTGGGGATTGAACCCAGGGTCTTGTGCATGCTAGGCAAAGCACTCTACCAACTGAGCTATATCCCCAGCCCCATATCCTTTTCTTAAATTGAACTGTTCTACTGCTCCCAAAACTGAGATGATCTTTTTAGTTTCTACCCACAGGCAATAAATGTGAGGCCACCCCAGCCATTGCTCCCAGCACTGGGCTTGGCATGAGCAATAAGTGGCTGCTGAATCTGTCTCCTGCTCACTAGTGCAGTGATGGCCTGCTGTGGCAGCTCCTCTTGAGTGAGGATGACTAGGCTAGTGGTGGCAGGCTGCTCAGGGCATGCTAGGCTCCACTTTCTGCTTCCACTACTAATTAAACTCTGGATACAACTTTTGAACTCCCCCAAAACTTAACTCTAACAATCTGCTGTTGACTGGAAGCCTTGATAACATAATCAGTCAATTAACACTTTCCATGTTGTATGTATCATAAACAGTGAAAAATGCAAGAGAACTGCAAGATCATGTTACTGTGGTAGATGAGCTGCTTATGGGGAGATGAACAGCACTCAATGGTGGTTTAAATGGATGCTCACAACGCTTGAGCTCACTGAAATAGCAACAGGAGGTTATCTTATTTCTTCATTGATGTGGCTTATGTCAAATACTTTCTAGGAACTCTTCTTACAGCTAAAATTTTCATAGTGTTTTTCTGAGATACTTTGGGTCCATGTTTTTTTATTATAAAAAAGTTAAGAAAATTGCCCCAAATTGCTCAACTGTTGGTGACATTGTAGGATCTTTTGATTCCACTAGTTCTTGATTTGTAGAATATCGCTTTAATTCTCTTGTGTATCACATCTGAGATCCAACAACTTTTTGTCCCCCACCTAAGATACCTGTCCCCACAGGTATCTTGCAGAATGGATGGTACATGGTTATCCCTCAGAAAACGTCTGGGACTTGGACTTGAAACGCTTTGGAGCCCTCCAGAGCAGCCGTACCTTTCTGCGTCACCGGGTCATGGAAGTCATGCGTAAGTGAAGCTTTATCCTAATTGCACCTAGTTGCAGATATCTGTCTGGTGGCATGTTTTATCATTTGAATGGGGCAGAGTTTTCTTCATTCCTTTATTAACTGCTTGAGCTGGGCTTCTAATGTGTGTTTCAGGCCTAGGTTTGAGGCCTTATGCCCCTTGTGATATTTATGGAACATTTTTAGTATATTGTACATTGTTTAATTTTGGGAACAGGAAAATAGAAAAAGGTTTTCGGGTGATATGCAGTTGCTTCCTCTATATTGCCAGCAAGTGCCTCCTTGCCTTCTTTCCTGCCTTGCGAGATCCTATGTCAAATGTTTTGCTCCTCATTTGGTTTGTTTGTTTTTTTCAGTACTGGGAATCAAACCCTGGGCATGCTGGGTAAACTTAGCACATACTAAGCCAGTGCTCTACCACTGAGCTACACCCTTATCCCCATTTGGTTTTTGAGATCATTGTTTTCTTTTCAAGGTACTCTCAGAATTTCAGGGTTCTCTGATGACTTTATTCATCCCATGTTAGCAAGATAAGAAACCACTTCTCCCATAATCACAAAAGTATGCATTCCTGCTCTTATTTTCCTTATCCTTGCTTCTTTAACGATATTGAAAGATTGACTTCTTTATTTTTATGTGGTGCTAAGGAGTGAGCCCAGTGAGTGCCTCACATATGCTAGGCAAGCACTCTACCACTAAGGTACAACCTTAGCCCTTGGTTTCTTCATTTTGACTTGTTATTCTACCTTGTCCAGTAAACCTGTAGAGACAGCTTTTTTTTTCCTTTGGAGGCGGGTGGGTAGTACTAGGGGTTTAACCTGGGCAGTTAACCACTGAGCCACATCTCAGCACCCGCTTTTATAAAATGTATTTTTTAAAATTTTGAGACAGGGTCTTACTAGGTTGCTTACAGTCTTGCCAAACTGTCRAGACTGGCTTTGAATCTATGATCCTCCTGTCTCAACCTCTCATTCTGCTGGGATTACAGGTGTGTACAATAGCTTTTGTTTCAGGAATTTAACCAAATTATATAGGTTCTGACAAGTAATAATTTAGTTTCTCAGTATAGGAAAATTATTCTGACTTTACTAAATCATGTCTAAATATTTTGGGCATATTTATGCTTAGGAATAAATTTCTGAGCCAGGTGTGGTGATGCACACCTGTGATTCCAGTGACTTAGGAGACTGAGGCAGGAGGATTGCAAGTTCAAGGTCAGCCTCAGCAACTTAGTGAGACAATGCCTCAAAATAAAAAACAACAAAAAAGAACTGAGGATGCTCAGTGGTAAAGCATCCCTGGGTTTAATCCCTAGTGTCACTCTCCTCGACAAAAAGGAATAAAGTTTCTAGATTACTGTGACCACTATTTTTGGTCAAAATTGCATTGTTCGCTTAGTAGCTCGATGATATTCATGGTAAGACTTTTGGATGGCCTTTGATGCCCGAGTGCTCACTTTTGGCTGTGGCAGACAACTTATATTCTTAGGAGATAAAGGACCTAGAAGCAGTATATTTAACTGATAAGGTTAATTTTAGTAAATATTTTAGCAAAACTGTTCAAGTCTAGATTTTTCCTGCCTTTGTTATTTTATTTGGTTTTTGCGGTGCTGGGGCCTCATGTATGCTAGGCAAGACTCTACCACTGAACGACGTTTCTAGCCYTCCTGCCCATAGTTACTTTAGAACCTGTGTAAATTATAATTAAGCTTGAGCTTCTCCTTGGTGATGAGACACTTTTGGTGTCCTGTGATTCTCATAATAGAAATTGGAGGCATGACAGAAAATGGGGAAGGAAAAAGTAAAACCTATGATAGATATCGGAGGTTGACAAATTGTCAACATGCAGGGAACTCTGTGGCTTCGTCCTCTTTAATCTCCCAACATCCCTTCCATCCCCATCCCAGTGTACCTTTCATCTGGAGTAAAGTCAGGTCTTCTCTGCAAGAGATTAGAGGTCACACTCTTCTGGTTGTTTTTACTTAATGCTGTTGCAGATTGGCCATGAAGAAAAATGAATTCTGACCCTAGCTGTATTATGTGAATAATATTACTGGGACAGTACAGTGCAACCTCTCAAATTACAGAGCCAACAAATGGAGGCATACTGTGTACCCTTTCACTTTAGAAATTTGATTAAATCTTAATGGAGAAAGAAATACCTGTAATGGGTATTGAGATCCCGACAACACAAGCAAAGAATCAAGTACCATTTTTCACATTGTTATTATCCACCTGGGTCCTTAGACATAATCTTCTCTTCTGTTATGGAATGCCRCAGTCTGGCTGGGCACAAAATCACGAGCCACTTAAGCAGGAACAAACTTTATTTTTGAAACTGCTGCCAATGCCCCGTACACCCCTGGAAGATCGCTGACCAACKCGTCGTTCTCTCCATCCCAAAAGGAAGTTCCTCCTCCGGAATTCCCTCCTACCGCACTTCCCCAACAAATGGGAACTCTCCAGGAGTCCCATATCCATATGAATGTAAATCTTAACATAATCATATCATCTCAATGGCTAGCTGGCGTCACCTTTCAACCAAAAATGCCATGCATATTACTTGGCTGTGGCTCTTAGCATCTCCCCCCTTCTGTTTAATTAAGCAACAAGCAATGTGGCTAGGGACCGTGCCTGTTAGGTTTGTCCAATTCAACATATGGTTCTTACCCGTCATCTGAAAACTAACCTCTAGGCGTCAGCCTCCTGTCTTAGGTTGATACCACTGCAATTGGATCATACCCGTCACTGACTACCGGTCCTGGATAAAGCCTATGCACCAGTGGGGGGGTGAGGTTCTTTGCCTCACCTCTGTCATATTACTTGGCTGTGGCTCTTAACAGTGGAACTGAGCAAAGTTTAAAACTATGACTTTTCTTTCAGTTTCTGCCTACTAAAGTGGAAATATGATTGTGAACAGAGTCCATGAGTCACTGGTAGATAGCTTTATATGGTCTTACAGTGTTGTCCTTTCTTTTGGATCATGCCTGTTAATACTAGGTAATACCTGACAAATTAGGCTGCATTAGCCTGCAAATTATTCTCTCATGAATGAATAGAAATGATTCAAGTCTAGTGGATATTGGATATTCAGCTCCAGAATCTGTGACTTGAACTTTGATAGACTCTTGTCTCTTTTAGCTCTGATATACGATCTGAAGGTTCCCCGCTGGGACTTCCAGACAGGTAGGCAGTTGCGCACATCTCCTTTGTATGACCGGCTGGATGCACAAGGAGCCAGATGGATGGAGAAACACGGATTTGAGAGGCCAAAGTACTTTGTTCCACCTGACAAAGGCAAGAAGTCAAATTTTTGTTAAGTTTTACTGGTTGCCAATTGAAAACAAAAAGATTATTTGTAGCCAGGCATGGTGGTGCATGCCTGTAATCTCAGTGACTTGGGAGGCTGAGACAGGAAGATTACAAGTTCAAAGCCAGCCTCAGCAACTTAGCAAAGCCCTGTCTCAAAATAAGACACAAAAAGAACTGGGAAAGTGATGCACTGGTTAAGCACCCCTGGGTTCAATCTCTGTTACTCCACCCCCCTGCAAATCTAACTTATTTGTAAATGTATAAACCTACAATGTGTTCTTGTAAGAATAAATAATGATAAATAAATAATGTTAGGCTACACCAAACTATAAAGGAACAGTACCCAGTGTTAATCCCCTCCTTTTCTCTCCACCTTTTGTTTTTTCTGATCCACAGACCTCCTTGCATTGGAACAGAGCAAGACTTTCTATAAGCCAGATTGGTTTGACATTGTGGAGGCTGAAGTCAAGTGCTGTAAGGAAGCTGTGTGTGTCATCGACATGTCCTCTTTCACAAAGTTTGAGATAACAGTAAGTATTTATGAACCAAAATAAGATTGGGAAACTTGTCAAATTCATCCGTTACTTCAAAACTGATTCTGAAAGAATCCGAGTAAACTGCAATGTCACATCTATATTTTCACATTTTTATGACTCTTCAGCTCCTCATGTCCATTTTTTGTTGTTTTTATTTAGAGTTTTTAATCTGCCTAGAGTGGCTCATTTAATAGCAAGCTTTCTCTGGATCCTCTTACAGTAGAGTAAATCTGCAATGCTATCACACGGGTGCTGGCTCATTGAATTTTCTCAGCAAGGTGCAGTGCTAGTTGGCCATGCTTACCAGCCAGGTGCTCTCAGGGGCACTCAATCACTGAGCCACATGCCCAGTGCAATTTTGTATTTTATATAGAGATGGGGTCTCACTGAGTTGCTTAACTCCTCACTTTTGCTAAGGCTGGCTTTGAACTGGCAATCCTCCTGCCTCAGGCTCCCGAGCCAATGGGATTACAGGCCTGTGCTACCACACTCGGCCACTAGCCAGCCAGGTGCTCTTGCTCTCGAATTAACTTTCTCTGCTTCATTCTCTGCCCTGCAGTCCACTGGGGATCAGGCACTAGAAATTCTACAATACCTCTTCTCCAATGATCTGGATGTGCCTGTGGGCCACATTGTACATACTGGCATGCTCAACGAGGGCGGAGGATATGAAAATGACTGTAGCATCGCACGCCTGAGCAAACGCAGGTGAGATTACTTGCCATTCCACCCTGTTCTTCCAACAGGCTGATCCCTTAAGGTTTCTGTAGCAGGAGTACTTGATGCACTTTTCCTGGGTCTAAAAAACCATTTCATTGCTGGGAGCGGTGGCACAGTCTTGTAATCCTGGCGGCCCCCGAGGCTAAGGGAGGAGGATCACAAGTTCAAAACCAGCCTCAGCAACTTAGTGAGGCCCTAAGCAACTTATCAAGACCCTGTCTCAAAAAGAGCTAAAAAATAAAAAGGGATGGGGATGTGGCTCAGGGCTTGAGTGGCCTTGGGTTCAATCCCAAGTACCAAATAAAAATAAAAACCAATTTCATAAACTTATGGTCAATTCACAAATTTTCTGTAATTTGGTGTTTTCTGCCCCCCCCCCTGCTGATTTTTCAATTTCGGGTTGACCATGAGTTTGTGAAATGGTTTATGAAATGGTAGTGCAGTCCCTCCTCTTCTGTCACTCCAGTCCAGGTTTTAACCCTTCTCTGTGATATTGTTTACTCTCCCAGACCATCTTCATTAGTTTTTGTCAATAGTAGCAAACATGATGAAATTCTTACTACCAGGTTGGTAAACTACCATTTCATAAAGTCATTGTCAGCCCTAAACAAAGAATTCAGGCTGGGGGGAACCCACCAGATTACAGAAAATAATTATAGAAGTTAGATAGCCTACTGAGCATATGCCTAATGTTGGAAAGTTTGTATAACTTATTGGCACTAACAAGAAGCTAGAATTTTCTGTTTTGTCATTTTGTTGTTTATTCCATAATGATGCTGCAAACCCTTCAACAAAGTTAAAGCATCATTTCCCAGTATACTCAATGGGCCTTTGAAACTAGAGAACTTAATGCTTCCTGATGCTTTCTCTGCTACCTAAATTTGATCATTTTGGGGTCTCATTTTCAGTTTCTTCATGATCTCTCCAACCGATCAACAGGTCCACTGTTGGGCCTGGCTTAAGAAACATATGCCGAAGGACAACAACCTGCTGCTGGAGGATGTCACCTGGAAATACACTGGTAATAGGGTTTTATCGGGTCAGCCAAATGAAAAAAAGCTAACCGATCCAAAAGTTTTCCACATTTTTCTTTTTTTGGATTCTTAAAAGTGAATGTCAGAGCTGGAGCTCAGTGGTAGAGCACTTACCTAGCATGTGTGAGGCACTGGGTTCAATCCTTAGCACTTCATAAAAACAAAATAAAGGTATTGTGTCCATCTACAACTTAAAAAAAAAAAAAATCAGATTCTGTGGTCATAGAAAGTTGGTCTGATACCTCCCCCACTTTATTCATTTCCATTTAAATATTTGTTAAATGAGTAACTTTTAAAGGAATTTTCATATTTATTAATATATAATGTTCTTCAGATTTTCATCTTACCTTTTTTTTCAAATGGGTAGTTTTTTAAGGATGACTTAATTTCCTGATTCTCTGTTCTTCAGCAACTTCTGTTGGGGAATCAGCCCTTCCTTTTATTATCTCATTTTAGGTTTTAACTCCTCCTCCTTTGCCTTCCATGTGACTCCTGCCCCTCTTCCTGCCAGTATTTACTCTCCCAGGCCTTCATTCTCAATTAGAAAATGTGATTAACTTCTTGCTATGCGGTTGGCAAACTCCAGACTCTTAGAAAGAAGTTGTGTTCTAGCATGTACTAGGTTAGCTGATGTGTAATTAGCATAAGCTAAGCCCAGGATGGGTGGGCAGCTCCCTTCCAGGTACTTATTTGGAACTGGGGCTTTTTCCATCTTGTAGCTACACTGGGAAGAGAATGAGAATTGTGCAGAGGGGGAAGTGTCCCTTTGGCTGGACTTGGTCTCATGACCTGATCTCAATGTAGAGACTAGAATGTTGTCTTCCTGTAAAACAGGGAGAAAAAACCTACTGACCAGGCTCTCATGCTAGCACCGTCACATTTCCAGAATGGGARTGCTTGACATCCATTCCTGGATTGCCTAGGCAAAGGAACACTTTTGTGATTTTACCAGCCAGGCCAGGCCACAGTTGGCAGTTTCAGAACAAGCTTTTTGCATTGGCTCAGCTGTTCACCTGGAGAGGCTGGACATCTCTCTCTCTTTTCTGTACAGCCCTCAATCTAATTGGTCCTCGAGCTGTAGATGTGCTGTCCGAGTTGTCCTATGCCCCCATGACTCCAGACCACTTCCCAACTCTCTTTTGCAAGGTATGTGCAAATAGTTTTGTTTTCACATGAGCAGAGAATATTTCTTTTATAGTGGTGACATAACATTCTTATTATAATATTAACACATACAAAGTGTTCTGTCCTTTACTAAGCAAAGAAAATGACCATGTCTTTATTTATTTATTTATTTTGTTGTACTGGGGATTACACCCAGGGCACTTTACCAATGAACTATTCCCAGTCCTCTTTTTTTAAATTTTACAACATAGGTAGGCCTTGAACTTGCAAACTTCCTGCCTCAGCCTCCCAAATTGCTGGGATTACAGGTGTGCATCACCATGTTGGCTACATTTTGTGTCACCCACTTTCCTATTATTCTAGTTTTCCTTCCTTTGCAAGGTAGTAAAAACAATAGAAAACTGCGTGTTAGCCGTCAGCAAATCCTTACATAACGCCCTCTCTGCTGCTAGAAGGAATAATCCATGTGCCTGGTAAGTGCTGAATCATGGCAGGCTTCCTATGGAAGTATTTGCATCAATGCTGAGATGTTACACATTCCTTTATTGGGTAGTGATTGAATCGGTGACTCCTCCTAGGTAACTAAGCTGACCTAGCATGTTTTGAAAATTAGAAGCTTAGACTCTGATCCCAGGGTAGCAGATGCAATGTGTTCTGTAGGGCTCAAGCTTTTTTTTTTTTTTGCAGGGGTGTGGGTGGATTTTTAGGTAATTGGGGATTGAACTCAAGGGCACTGAGCCACATCCCCAGCCTTATTTTTTATTTTATTTAGAGACAGGATCTCATTGAGTTGCTTAGCATCTTGCTTTTGCTGAGGCTTTGAACTTAAGATTCTCTTGCCTTGGGCTGGGGATGTGGCTCATGCGGTAGCGCGCTCGCCTGGCATGCGTGCGGCCCGGGTTCGATCCTCAGCACCACATACAAACAAAGATGTTGTGTCCGCCGAGAACTAAAAAATATTAAAAATTCTCTCTCTCCTCTCTCACTCTCTTAAAAAAAAAAATTCTCTTGCCTCAGTTCCTGAGCTGTGGGGATTACAGGCATGCGCCACCACACCTGGCAGGCGCCAGAGTCCCCAAGAAAAGACACTTGTCTAGCCTTCAGATCCTCCTGACTACCCCAAGTCTTTTTCTTTTTTTGGACCAGGGATTGAACCCAGGGGCCTTAACCACTGAGCTACATCCCCAGCCCTTTCTTATATTTTTATTTAGAGACAGGGTCTTGCTGAGTTGCTTAGGATCTCAATGAATTGCTGAGGCTGGCTTTGAACTCACAATCCTTCTGCCTCAGCCTCCCAAGCCACTGGGATTATAGTCATGTGCCATCATGCCTGGTAAACCCAAATCTCTAGCAGGAGTTGGTAAAGAGAAATATTTCATGCCAAAGACTGCTGTCACTTYCCTAAATGCTAAAACTCCCGAAATTGTGATATTCATAAGAGATGTTGTAAAGGCTGTGCTTTATTTTCAGGATGAAATGCTTTCCTTGATTGTGTCTGCTTAGTTAAAGCAGAGGGCACAGTGCTAATGAAAGTATTCCCTTGAGCCATTCACTCCCTTGTCAAGCCTGCATGGTGTCCACTTATGCCGACTGCTGCCTTTTCCTCTGCAGGAGATGAGTGTGGGCTACGCAAATGGGATCCGGGTGATGAGCATGACTCACACAGGAGAGCCAGGATTCATGCTTTATATCCCCATAGAGGTAAGACAGCTCAGCCTTCTTTTCTAGGGACCACTGTGAGGAGTGCTGGCTTTCCCAAAGTTCCTAAGCATTAGCAGGTTTGAAAAGCTGTATCTGATTGGGAGTTTGAAATTCCATGAGGTCAGCTGCATGGAAGAGATTTTAGAATTTCCAAGTTAGTTAAATTAATAGGTAATACACTTACACGGTTTAAAAATTCAAATGTGTGTGAAATATATAAAACTGGTGCTGACAAGTTCTTACCAACCACAACCAATGTATTAGTATGTACTATGAAGAGATTTTTTTTTTTGTATATGCAAGCAACTTTAAAGATGGAGTTCTTAGCCCTCTCTCCCCCATTTTTTGTTTTTGGTGGTGCTGGGAATCAAACTCAGGATCTCATACATGCTACCAACCACTCTAGCACTTTTCTTTTCCCCTCTTTAAGACAGGGTCTTGCTAAGATGTTGAGGCTGGCCTCAAACCTCCCCAATAGCTGGGATTATAGGCATGCACTGCCCYAGGCAGCTCTTAGTCCCCTTTTAAAAACACAAATGAAAGCATAATGTTCATTTTGCTTTTTTCTACTTAATAATTTATCTTCTAGATTTTTCTATATTAGAGCTTAAAGAGAAAGTTTTTGTTCAAGCAGTGACACAATATATTGAGTCTTAAGGCTAAATCATAATTAACTAGACTAGCACTAATAAACAGTTGTAGTATTTCCAGTCTTTAGCTATTAAAATTCTGTGGTATGTAAGAGTGTCTTTTTTCCTTGTTGTCAGACCTGAGGCTTTTGCCAGTTTGTTAGGGGCAAAATAATTCTCATCAGTATATTTCTAATTTCCCTTTGGCTTTTCAAATTCCATCTCCATCCAAGTAAAAGCCAGTCTGTGGGGCCCAACGTGTCCTCCATTCTGTTGCATGGCCCTGGACTGTCTTCTCTGCTTCTTTTCCTCTTGCTAGTCTTGGAACCTCCCAGATTTTACACTTAACTTCTCCCTCCTTTGGCATACCTTGCCCTGGATAGAAAACCTCAAGCTCACAGCCTCCCCTCCTTCAGGTCTTACTCACATGTCACTTCTCACTGAGACCTTACTACAAGTTGCTGTCCTTCCCTTTTTTCTCCATAGCATTTTTCACTGTCTAATAAAATATATTTGATTTGGTTCATCAGATTGTCCTGTTAACTTTTCTATTCCTGTCACCGAAGGGAGTACTTACCCCATAGTAAGTACTCACTGAATTCTTCTGCTTATGTCCTGTCCATATTTCTATTGGATTATTGCTCTTTTTAATCAGTTTCCAGGCATTCTTTCTGTGTTAAATAGCCCTTGGTGTCCACTTGCAAATTTTTTTCCAGTTTGATTTATGGTGTTCTGGCAGTACTGGGTAACAAATCTGGGATCTTACACATGCTAGGCAAGCAATCTTCCACTGAGCTATATACCCCCAGCCCTCCATTTTGCCAAATAGGAGCGTTTTTTAAAAATTTTATTAAAGTTTCATTTAAATTTCAAAAAATTAAAATTTATTTACTTGAATTCTTCAATCTTTTCTTTCTGGACTTTTGATTCATTTTAGAATCCTACTCTAAGGTTATATATTTGTTATTTATGGTTTGGGCTTTTTTTTTTTTTTTAAATATTTTTTATTTTTTAGTTTTCGGCGGACACAACATCTTTGTTGGTATGTGGTGCTGAGGATCAAACCTGGGCCGCCCGCATGCCAGGCGAGCGCGCTCCCGCTGAGCCACATCCCCAGCCCCATGGTTTGGGCTTTAAAAAAAATACTTAAGATGCTTGATCCTTTTAGTCTCTTAGTGCATATTATGAGTTTTGAATCAGGCTTTTTCCACATGGCTACCTTTATCATATACTAAATCCTATTTGGGTTTGGTTCTGAATTTTCTATTCTATTGGTATCTGTTTATATAATTTTTATATTTGTTAATGCTTACCTTTTCTTGCAGTGGAAAACTCTGGAGAAAAAAAACAATTGCTGGGGATATACCTCAGTTGGTAGAGTGCTTGTCTCGAATGTACAAGGCCCTAGGTTCAATCCCCAGCATCACCACAAAAAAAAAAAAAAATTCTATTTTCCTTTGGCGTACTACGTGTGAAGCCCCCAGTACTACAAAAAAGAGCCAGGAATGTACCTGTAATTCCAGCTGTGTGAGAAGGATTGTTAAGTTTGAAGCCAGCCTAGGCAACTTAGACTGTCTCAAAAACAAGAAACACTATTGGCATTTTTGGGGGGGTTGTATTATGTTTCTCAAGTGAGAATTGACATTCATGTGATGTAGTGAATCTAGAAAATATAAGATCCAAGTCTTGAATTGCCATTCAGTTCTTTAATATTTTGTTGCTACTGTGAATGGGGGGTGGTCTCTTTGTTCCATAATACTCTAAGTGATCAATTCAAAGTTTTCATGAATTGATCACTTAAGCTGTACATTATTTCCCTACTAAATTATCTTGTTTTAGAGACTGGGATTTCCAGGGTCTTACCTCCAAATAGTACAAGTTTTTCTTCCTCCTAAAATATGCCATAATCTATGAATAATTAGATGTGTGCATGCACATCTAGAATTATGGGTAAAAGCCTGTTTTTTCACAGCTTTGGGCCAGTGCATGAGGGAATGGCAAAAGAGAAAAAGGTAGAAAGACTGTAGAGGGTTACTGGACTATTTTAGAAACAATTATAAAATTTGTTATTTACCAAATGGTGAGAGTGCTTTAATAACTGTTATATATTGAAATCACCTTGCATTTTTGAGAAGTGAAAGATCTCCTGCCTTTGTGGAAACTACATTGTAGGGTGGAGTGGCCCCAGCTCATTACTGCTGGGCTCTAGTGCCATGCTTTGTTGAGGGCAAGATGTCCTAGGAGTTCTCTATGATCCCTCTCTTGTCCACTGCTGCAACCTGTGCAGCATCAACAAAGGATTCTCAYGTAGGGGTGACTGGAGGAAAAAAAGAGACATTATCACATAAAGGTGGGACATTGCACTCTGATGGAGGAACAGTGACCCAGAACTAGCTCTATAAATTTATTGTATAGTCTCATCAGGAAGTTAAACTATAGGGGCATTATAAATTGTTTAAGGCTTGTGAGTTGTCAGAGGTTGCTTTGTGCACTAGAAAGTTACAGAGCTAGAAACATTTTTTTGCAGCTATCCTAGTATAGCAGTGCTAGGAACTTTCTGCTGAGTCCAGGAAACCCACTATAAACATCCTTGGCAAAGAAATATTTTCCAGGATCAAAGGGCTCAATCTGCTCTCCAGAGTCCACATTAGTGTTAGATATCACCACTTCCAGATGTATTCCATGTTTAATTCTGAAGATGTGCTGGTTACTAACCTTTCCTTTCTTTGTATAGTATGCTCTTCACGTATACAATGAAGTGATGAATGTTGGACAGAAATATGGAATCCGGAATGCTGGGTATTATGCTCTTCGCAGTCTCCGAATTGAGAAGTTCTTTGCCTTCTGGGGTCAGGATTTGAATACCCTCACGACGCCCCTGGAATGTGGACGGGAATCCTGGGTGAAATTAGAGAAGGTAGGGTATTAATCCAGACTGTCCTGTAAATTGTCAATAGACCTTTGTTTTATTAACTTACATGTGGGTGCTGAGAATCAAACCCAATGCCTCACACACGCTTGGCAAGTGTTCTACCACTGAGCCACAACCCCAGCACCACCACTCAGCTTCTTGAGCACTGAAGAGCCGATGTGGCTGACCTGTATTTTCACACTTCTTCAATCAGGATGTATCCTCAGGGCAGAAGACTTGCCTATAGGATAAACATCTTTTAGAACAATACTCAGTAGGCGCTCTGGGGGAAGTTTTTCTGAGTTGATTATGGTGATTAGTCATCTTATAGTACATTACCTAGTCTTTTTTTCTTGGAAAACCATAGTTTCAGAAGGTTCTTTGAAAAATTAGTCTTTTTACCTCTTAAGCCCACTCAATCTCTGGTCCCCTTTCCCAAAAGAAGCAGTTTCTTGTTTACTCTTAAGAGAGCGACAGTGTAAGAATGCCAGGGTGTAATTTCCTCTCCCAACTTTAACCTAGGTGGTGGCATATTGTATGCATCTTTTTTTCAACAAATATCTTGGCACGTGTTCCYTAATAGTGCATGATCTATTGTATTCTTTTTAAGCAATTAATGTTTCTGTGATGAAAAAAATATTATAAAGGTATGCATTGATATAGACATGCACGGACTTTGTTTTCTAAAACAACTCTAGCAAGTATTTATTTATTTTTACGTGGTGCTGAGGATTGAACCCAGTACCTCACATGTGCTAGGCCAAGCATTCTATCACTGAGCCACAACTCCAGCATGTATTTTTGTTCTGTGTGGTTTTGCAATTTAAACTGCTTATAAAAAAGAAAGATGTACGCTTTTGTTACAAAAATTCTCTAACTTCTGTATTATGAATGCAGCTTTTCATATAGTTGTAATCATGCCATTTCCCAAAACCCAACAGGGGTGAGGGTGCTATATTCCAAGGGTCAGATAATAGACAGGAGTCTCAGCTTTCCTTTTCTTTTCCAGGGCATGGATTTCATTGGTCGGGAAGCTCTGCTGCAGCAGAAACAAAATGGGGTGTATAAACGCTTCACCATGTTCATTCTGGACGACCATGACACAGACCTGGACCTSTGGCCTTGGTGGGGAGAGCCCATTTTCCGGAACGGGCAGTATGTTGGCAAAACCACCAGCAGTGCCTATAGCTATACTTTGGAGCGCCATGTGTGCCTGGGCTTTGTGCACAATTTTTCAGAAGACAGCGGTGAAGAGGAGGTAGTAACCACTGATTTCATTAACCGGGGAGAATATGAAATTGACATCGCAGGCCACCGGTTTCAGGCCAAGGCTAAACTCTACCCTGTCACCTCCCTCTTTGCTCACAAGCGCCGAAAGGATGATGTGGAGCTGAGTGACTTACATGGSAAGTAATGGCAGGGCAATCTCACCTCCTGTCATCTGATCGTAAGGAACATCACCTCAGAAGCTTCTTTCTTTCCTCTCACCCTGTCCCTGCTTACTAAACCTTTGCTTCCCATCTCTTACCTCCTTGATATAATTTTAAACTTGACCTACTTTTAAACTTTTGCTTTGGAACCCCTCTTTTCATCCTAGTTGCAGTCTTCCCTCCTGTTCAGATTCCCATGGTGGCAGGAAGTTTATCGGACAGAGGCAGGCTCCACTTGTGGAATTGTAAGGTGAAAAATTCTGTGTCTTAAAACAAGGCAAGCTGGTGTTTTACAGGCCTTAGGACAAGAGTCCATCTCCCTTGGGCTAAGATTTCTTGGAGTAACTTGTTTATTTCGGTGGGGCTCCTGGAATAGCTTATGCCTTTTAGGCAGATCATTCTGTTCCACTGCGCTATGGGTTAGTACCCAATACCTCTAGCAGAAAGATGATCATCTACCTCACTGGTGAGAAGTATTGCATGGACATCGTCTTGACTGTAGCACAGACGAACAGTTAACCTTGCACCATCCTCATCTTCCCTCCAGAATGAATTCTCAGATCTTTGGGCCACGGCAGCCTATTGTTTTCTTTATCTCTTGTACTCTATGGTGAGCTTGTTTTTTCTTTCTTAGCAAACAAATATGCCAGTGTTAGAGAAAAACCTTGTTGCCTTTTGTGTTGCTTTTCCCAACTGAAAGGGTCTGACTTCAGGAGGTATACAATCCTCTAAAATATTGCCTTTAAAGTGACCCCTAGCTCAGCCTCACCTCTGCTCACAAACTCAGCATACACTGCTCTCCCTTTAGAGCAGGGAGGGAAAGTTTAGGTGGGTTGTCTTAGTATGAATAGCAAAGTTTGGTTATTCACCTGAGTGCCAGAGCGCTACTAGAACCCAAGCTCTATGTCTCCCTGGTGGGGAACAGAGCTGACCATGTGGCTCCATTGAGAGTTCTGAGTACAGTGGGTGTAGGTTAGCTGGAGCACTGTTTTCCTTCTACACAGCTGTCCATCTCTGGCTTTTGGAATGCAGATGGCTAAAAGTACCCTGCACATTTTCAATCAGTGTCTCTATTTTCTAAAGGTAGAACTTAGATGTCAGACTATATAAAGATGTCACACTATATAATATAGCCCCAAAACGTCACTTCCCCTTTCATATGAACAAACTGCTATTAGAAATTTTAATTCAGCTGTAGCCTCGCTGTCTTGACATCTTGGAAGCATACATTTTGTTAATTCTATATTAAAGGAGATCCTTTCATTTAGAGCAACTTAAAATTCTCAGGTGTCCACTTGCTCTGCTATTTMTGTGGGATCTGTTACCCACTCAGACCAGTTTGACAATTCCTACTTGATGACAGACTTCACTGTCCCATCTTTTTTGGGTGGAAGGGGTCTTAATTGATTTACTCTAAGYGCATATGATTAGAGCAAATGTGTATTTAGCCAAGACATGCTGCTTCTGTGCTGGAAAACTAAGCAGGGGAACAGGAGCTATTGGACTTAGGAGAGCAGAAAGAGACCTTTAGCAAAGGAGCTGGCTGACATACTTTCCACCCTCCAAACTCCTCTTTGTAAATGAAAATTTACTTGGAATTAAATCAAAAAATTCTTGGTTTATACACAGACAGTATGTGAAGATAAATTTGCTCTTTAACTGTTACATATAGAAAGTGTGTTAACCATGTATGATGTTCCAAATTGGATAAAAGCAAATCCTTTAGTTTAAAATTGGGGAATGCCATTCTGTCATTCAAACAGAAATATTATCAGAAGTGTATTCACTGTAGATTTTAGGACTTGATTTCTAGCTAATTATTGTTAAATTAATTTGCTTCCTCCTTAAGTAGGAGGGAATATCTGATGATGTATCCAAAACAGTCACTGCATGTTTTAACTAGGGAAATCCTTACCTCCTATTGCTGATATCACAATCCTCTCCTTTTGAGTCAACAGGCAGTACTAATCTTGCTGGGAGGGGATGATGGAACAGGACAAGTGCTTTGAAAAACCTCCTCCATAAGTAGCAGCCRTACTCCTAGGACTCTGGTGAGGTGCTGATCTTTTGAGCCTTCAGTGCCCTACATGGAAAATTTTCTTTGTCACTTTAAGAATATCCTCTCGGTTCAAACATAGGTATTATAAATCTAAATTTTTAAAAAATTTGGTCCTACTGTGAGTGCTCTGAACAGACTGTTCCCTAGCATAACTACTTTGCCTCTGTGTCATAAGCATAATAGATGTTACAAGCATTCTGGGCTCTTAAATAGTCAGTAGAAGCATTAGATCTTGAGGTATGGCTGTAGGAAAAAGGCCCAACAACCAAAACATCATTTAGTATATCACTTTCTCCTTGGATGGATGGTGGTGCTATATAGATTTGCCTGGAGTGACACCTCACCCTAGGAAGCCAGTTAGTTTGAGGAATTGTAGACTTTAGCTTTAGGTGGTTGCATACTTTTTTCTTTCTGTGGTGGTGGGGCTTTTATCTTGYCAGCAAATTATTGTTGAATCCAGGAACGAAAATTATGTTGCCCTCAAAAGAGATCACCCAGTGTTGCAAAGTTTTTTAATCCTTGTCCTTGAAATATCTTTAAGTACTTCCTCTGGCTTTCTGTTAGTATTGTGTCCATCCACAACAATATATTTTTTTTAACATGGTGCTGAGGATCGAACCCAGTGCCTCACACATGCTAGGCAAGAGTTCTACCACTGAGCTACAACCCCACCCCCTGGCTCCTTGTGCCATAGGAAATCCTGTTTCTCAGCACTGCCGCAGTCACTTGAAGCTGCATTGGAAAGATTTCTCTGCCATGGGCACTGAAGTCAGAAAGTTTTAAGAGCAAAAAGGGATAAGAGCTAACTGCTTTGTCTACTTGGTATCATTTAATCTTGTGTGGCAGTCACATAGCAACTTCTCGTGGGCAGAACAGGCTCCAAAATGAACAGTTACCACTATATTTCTAGTATTCTTCCAGGGGTCTCTCCACCTGCCTAATGTGGAAGATTCACATCAGGCCATGAACACAGGGATCAATTAGCTCATTGGTTAAACCTAGCTTCATTACTGGAGCCCAGCCACTTCAGCTTGGCTCTCACCTGGAGGGGTGCTATTCCTGGTTCTCTCTCCTGTACTCACCAAGAATTTTACCTGCTTGCTTGCTTTTTGCTACCAAGAAAGTAAAACATGAAAAATAAAGCTTGAGCTCTCACAGTGTACTCCATGCATTTGAAATGTTAGCCTCTTTCCTCATGGTTGACAGTGGCAATATAGGAATGAATGGTAGGAGCTTCCTGAAAGTGTGCTTTGCTTCCTGAGATGGCCCCGATTTCTGGTTCTGTTTATCCTCTGGCATATAAACAAATTTGCTGACATTTGAATATACCCTCATCATCCTTAAGAGAATCTGAGACAGAAGGGAATCTTTTACAGTGTTAGTACCAGGCCTGGGGTCTATCCTAGTAGAACAATTGCATCAGACTGCTTTCAGAAGTGAGTTACAAGGTTTATTTCCATATCTACTACTTCTAGGCTAGGATAGTTAACAGGGGTCCTTTTTGATATCTAAAAGCTCTGGTCACCAGTGGCTAATACTGAAGAATAATCTTTTGCCACTTTAGGTTTCCTTCTGCATTCCATTCCCAACATGCCTCTCACAAATACTGAGTAGCATTTTATTAAGTTCAAAATGAACATCTTTATCAGCAGGCATATGAATTAAGGAGAAGCAGGTGAATAGATTGAAATGGTAGATGAAGTAGTTTGCTCTTGGACTTCTAACCACACCATGTGTACATGCAGGAAGTGGCGAGTGAGTTCTGAGTCTGATGGGCAGCACCACATTCCGTCCACCACCTCTTTTTTTGGCCTCCACTTCAAGGTGCTGAGTTGTAAGGCCCCCGATTCATGTCAGATTGGGACTTGCTATTAGTCCCTTGTAACTACCAACGCACTGTTTTTCCTAAGATCGATTTTTGTCTTTGCCTTCTCATTGTCCATTAGACAGAGTTGTTCCCTGTATAGGATTCTTGATTTTCATGAGCATAGTGTCTGCATCTCTTTAAGAATTATGCATTTCTTCACAGGCTATTTTTCCTCACATTTAGATGCACCTGTTTTTAATCCTTTGCAAACATCTTCTGCCTCCTTGTTTTCCTGTCCATGAAGGACAGAAACTATAAGAGGAGAAGAGAATATTTTTAGCATCTGTTTCACATCTATGCCAGGATTTCCTTTGCACACCAAGAACTGGAGTTTAGAGTTTTTTCTCCGAGCCCAGTTCTAGTGCCTTACACTCCAGAATGTCAAGTGGCAGATGAAGGTAAGGAAGAATGGGAGAAGGAAGGTTCATTTCAGTCTGTGGGTTTCCTTCACAGCCCCCCCCCCCCATTCCTCAGAAAAAAATGGGCGTGATGTAGGTAGAGTTCTACAGCACATTTCTGCGAAGAATTTTCTAGCCATGTAGTTCACAATTACTCTGGTCAACTCTTGGGATGTCTAACACCACTGTTAAGTAACATAACTCATTTGTGTTTTAAGTGTGCAGTTCAGATCAGCCCTCTCTGTTCCTATAAAGAGTTAGCATATCATCCTGAAGACACTCTAGGTGCTTGAGTAAAGGGCTCTTTTCTCAAGAGCCCAGGTGACTTTGGGTACATAGGGTGACGAGCATTTCTGCCCTCCATGAATGTGGCATAAATAATGTGCACTTTGTAACCAGCTGGATTTCAACCGATTTTCTTTTCATGGTACTAAGTATGTAAATGAATAAAGACATTTTAATTTCTCTTGCCATGTCCTTGTGTTTTCCATCATAAGGGACGAGCACTGTATATAAAACCATTAGCTAAGAGCTTCTGTTGGTGTGGAAGACAAGGGTGTATTCTTACCCCCAGGAGAAGAATCACCTTATCCAACCATTTTTTGCATTTCTACATATGAGCATCCATAGGACCTAAAGATTTTCTTTCTTACATGACACCTGCAGGCCACACACAGCTCAGAGCTGGTGGCTCTTCTGCTGCTACATTCCTTTCTGTTACTGCAACTTGTTCCCTAACCCGAGGGGGCAACATGGATCAAATCTCTAGGCACCTGGTCCATCCTGAGCATGGAACCAAATCTTAATAAAATGATTGTGCTGGCAAATGATCCTAGGCCCACGGAAATCAACAGGGACACCTTGTAAAGGAAGTGGCTGCCTGCTATACACCCAGGTTATTCCCTAACTTTTCCAGTAACAATTCATAAGGTAAAAATAAAACTACTTAGGCTGGGGATGTGGCTCAAGTGGTAGCGCGCTTGCCTGGCATGCGTGCGACCCGGGTTCGATCCTCAGCACCACATACAAAGATGTTGTGTTTGCTGAAAACTAAAAAAATATTAAAAAATTTAAAAAATAAATAAATAAAACTACTCAGGGGACTGGGTGGTGGCTCTGCTAAAGTGCTTGCTCAACAAGTGTGAGGCATTGGGTTTGATTCTCAGCACTGCATATGAATAAATGAATAAAATAAAGCCCTTCAACAACTAAAATACTTTAAAAAGTCAACATTAAAAATAACAACACTACTCAGAACTACCAGGAACTTTTCAGGTATACATCCAAAGAGAAAAGAGCGCAAAATGTTTCTAGCCATCTAGAAAGATCAGCCATTCTAAAGACTGTTTAAATAAAAAAAAAAAAAAAAAAAAAAAGATTAATTATCTTGAGGGGTGGGGGGAGCCCCAGAGAGAGACTACCATTTGGAGGCACTGGGCCTCTTCCCTCTCCCTCCTACCAAACAACCAGACAAAAAAAAACTTTGGCTTCAGGGAGTAAAAGCTTTTAAAAAAGAGAAACTGCCACTTTTGGAGACTACCAAATCAAGGAGTCGGGGGGCGGAATCCACTAATTGGAACACTCTGCCCCTAATCCTGAGAAAGTAAATATATTTTCAAATGAATATACCTCACTATTTTATTTATATATATATATGGGGGGTATATATATATATATATATATATACACACACACACAACTATACAATACTACACTATATATACTATACTATATATACTATAGCTTTGCTTAATTCCCCAGTCACATATCCATTGCTATAAAATATTCTATACTGGGGGTTGTGGCTCAAGCGGTAGCACGCTCGCCTGGCATGTGCACGGCCTGGGTTCGATCCTCAGCACCACATACCAACAAAGATGTTGTGTCTGCCGAGAACTAAAAAAAATAAATATTAAAAAAATTCTCTCTCTAAAAAAAAAAAAAAAAAAGAAAAAGAAAACCAGTTTATTTAAAAATAAATAAATAAAATATTCTATACTGGACATAGATGCTCTTAGAAAAAAATTTGGGCACTTAAAATTGGCTTAATAACTTAAGTACCTAAGTCCCCAGATAAGATAGACAAGACAGACAGTATAGCCCAATGTAAGTTGAAATGGGACATTCAAGGATTAAATCCTATTAATCAACTCTTTAAAAAGATTATTCCCACTACTTTTCCTCAACTGCAACCCACTAAAGCCCCACATCTGATACATAACACTAAAAGGACTGATTCTATTCAGTCAACAACTGGTGAACACTATGCCCTCACAGAACTGGCTAACCTGTTCTGTTAGTGGCTATTTCAACAGTCTCTCAATTGCAGTTTGCCTCCACCTCTGAAGGGGCACAATACAACTGTCTGATTTACCCACAGGAGACCTCTACAGCTTTGCCATCACATGCAAACTAGGCCAGATCTTGATGACATCTAACTCCTCAAGGAGCTCAGGTACAATATTACAATGAGGATATCCTTCTTGAAGGAGATTAATTTGATACATGAATTAAGGATATTGCAGTTCAATGCTTCTTAGTACTTTTGAGTTTTGGTAACAACATTCCTCATTTATGAATTTTCTAAATTAAAATTGACAGGCATTCCTATGAGTGTTCTCAAAAGTGCATGCATGGGGCTGGAGTTGTGGCTCAGTGGTAGAGCGCTTACCTAGCATGCATGAGGCACTGGGTTCGAGTCTCAGCACCACATACAAATAAATAAAGATCCATCAACAACTTAAAAATTTAAAAAAAAAAAGGGCATGCTTATAATACCAGCAACTCAAGAGACTGAGACAGGAGGATCACAAATACAAGGGCTTAGGCAATTTAGTGAGACTCTCAAAAAGGGTTGGGGAAGTAGCTCAGTGGTAAAAGTGCCCCAGGGTTAAATTCCCAGTACCACCCCCACACCCCCCACACACCCCTTACACCCCCCCCCCTGCGCCAAATAACAGTTTCTTTATGATAGACTCATTGGTTGCTTTGTGTAATGCCTCTTACAGAGTGATGGCCATTAACTGTCCCAGGGCTTCTAATGCAAGATACCATTTTCTTGGCCTAATGCTGTACCTATTAAAACATATGACTGGCACCAACTGGCTCTCTTGGAAAGAGGCTCCCATAGATCCTAAGCCTGTGAGCATGTCCAGCTGTTTTGTTTTGTCATTGAAACAGCACTCCAGAGGCTCAACAAGGCCTCTTTACAAGATAGAAGCAAACCTGGGCATTATTCTCCCTGCAGAAGTGGATGCTTTCCCATGTTCAGTCCCTTGCTAGGGGGATGGAGATCAGCTCTGCCTCACACCTTCTGGCAATGTGGAAAACATCTTGATATTAAGTGAGAGAACAGCAATGGGAGTTCATGGACTCTGCTAACAGTACTGCCAATCATCATACATATTGGAGCTTCATGGACTTCATCCTTTAGTCAGGATGTCCCTAATAAAGAAAAAAACATACTTAGCCTAACTTCAGACAGCTGTCATAGCACTGGATGCTCCCATTGGCACATTTATGATAAAAAGTATTGGGACAGTACCTCAAAATTGTCCCCTTCAAGATTTAAACAACAACAACAAAAAAAAACCCTCCTGGGGCTGGAGTTGTGGCTCAGAGGTAGAGCGCTTGCCTAGCACGTGAGAAGCTCTGGTTCGATCCCCGGCACCACATAAAATAAAGATATTGTGTCCACCTATAACTAAAAATTAAACATTTTTTTAAAAATTAAAAATAAAGATATTGTGTCCAACTACAACTAAAAAAATAAATATTAAAAAAAAACCCTCTTGGAATCATGCCTCCCAGATACCAAAGTATAAAATAAAATCACAGATAACTAGGTGCGGTAGCACATGCCTGCAGTCTCATTGACTCTGGAGACTGAGGCAGAAGGATTACTAAATTTGACACCAGCCTCAGCAACTTAGACTCTGTTTCAAAATAAAGGATAAGGGGGCTGGGGATGTGGCTCAAGCGGTAGCACGCTCGCCTGGCATGCTCGCCTGTGCCCAGACTTAACCTAATTATTAAATTATCCATCTCAATCCCATCTGACCTGAGGTTACAGGCCAGATTAAGGGCATACCTACTCATGGGTCTCATTGTGCCACATATCAGGCAGCTGCTCATGTTAGGGGACCCATTTGAAGAAAAACTTGTACCAAAAAACAAACCCATACAATTCTGTTGACTGCTGGTCTAATTACTAGGTTGGATGCTTCCAATGATCTATATCCAGTGCCCACACTCTCCAGGAGACCATAGTTTCAACCAATTATGATAAATGCTAGGGCCCACATCAACTGAAGTGGGTACCTGCTTGAAAGGGACACCCCAATTCCTAGATGACATCACACTGACCCAAAATCTTACCACTGGAGATGACATCATCCCAAACAACACTGCCTCAACCAAAGTCTTCAAGGTTGGAGACGATTTCACGCCATATACTAAACTGCCATTCCACTGATATCCAGGGGTTGCCTGTCCTACAACAATTTGGACACAGGACATTTTGGGTAGGTGGTATTGGGGACTGAACTCAGGGGCACTCAACCACTGAGCCATATCCCCAGCCTTATTTTATATTTTATTTAGAGACAGGGTCTCACTGAGTTGCTTAGCACTTCACTTTTGCTGAGGCTGGCTTTGAACTCGAGCTCTTCCTGTCTCAGCTTTCCTAGCCACTGGGATTACAGGTATGTGACACCACGCTTGGTGACATAGAACATTTTTGCTTTTCTTTCTGAACTATCTGCTTAGCCCATAATCTTGTTATACTTTTTGGTTTCTTCTCAAATGTACACCAACAATTCCAATGTAAAGTTCCTAAAGGGAACTCTACATTGCTAAAAATAATCAATGTTATTGCTTTCTCTAGGAGACACTAACCCCAAATAGACCACCACCACCTCTGTGAAAAAAGCACCCACTCCCTGATCTTTTTTCCTATCTCTCTCTAGCTTTTCACAATCTCTCACTTTGCATCTCTGAATATAACCACCAAACCACTCTTGCCCCTTACAGCTAATAGATAACCATGCAAGTTACATCAGCCTTTCAT